TGTGTGTTTTGTGGTGTGTTTTCACAGCGTGTGTCTGTATGTCAATGTGTGTGTGAGCATTGCTTTGTGTGAGTATTGCTCTGTGTTTGCGAATGTGAATTGTGTGTGTGTGAGTATTACTGTGAGTGTGAGTATTGCTCTGTGTATGAGTATTATGTGTGTGTATTGCTGTGTGTGTGTTATCGGGAGTGGCAGGGGCACATTTCTATGTGTGCGAGAGTATTGGTGGGTGTGTGTGTGTGTGAGCTTTGCTGTGTGTGTTTTGCTCTGTGGTGTTTAGTGTGTGTGAGTATTACTGTGTGTGTGTTTTGCTGTGTGTGTGTGAGTATTGGTGTGAGTGAGTATTGCTTTGTGTGTGTGTGAGTATTGGTGTCAGTGTGTGTGTTGCTGTGTGTGTGTGAGTATTGGTGTCAGTGTGTGTGTTGCTGTGTGTGTAAGTATTGGTGTGAGTGTGAGTATTGCTGTGTGTTTTGCTGTGTGTGTGTGTGTGAGTATTGGTGTCAGTGTGTGTTTTGCTGTGTGTGTGTGTGTGTGTGTGAGTATTGGTGTCAGTGTGTGTTTTGCTGTGTGTGTGTGTGTGTGAGTATTGGTGTCAGTGTGTGTTTTGCTGTGTGTGTGTGAGTATTGGTGTCAGTGTGTGTTTTGCTGTGTGTGTGTGTGAGTATTGGTGTCAGTGTGTGTTTTGCTGTGTTGTGTGTGTGTGTGTGAGTATTGGTGTCGGTGTGTGTTTTGCTGTGTGTGTGTGTGAGTATTGGTGTCAGTGTGTGTTTTGCTGTGTGTGTGTGTGTGTGAGTATTGGTGTCAGTGTGAGTATTGCTGTGTGTGTGTGTGTGTGTGAGTATTGGTGTCAGTGTGTGTTTTGCTGTGTGTGTGTGTGTGAGTATTGGTGTCAGTGTGAGTATTGCTGTGTGTGTGTGTGTGTGTGAGTATTGGTGTCAGTGTGAGTATTGCTGTGTGTGTGTGTGTGTGAGTATTGGTGTCAGTGTGAGTATTGCTGTGTGTGTGTGTGTGTGAGTATTGGTGTCAGTGTGTGTTTGTACGTGTGTGTGTGTGTGTGTGTGTGTGTGTGCGTGTACGTGTGTGTATTGTGTGTGTGTGTGTGTGGCTGGGGAAGGCGAGAGAGGGTATGGGTGCGTGCGTGTGACTTGCCTGCACTGCGCTGCTGCTGTTACCGGCTGAACACCCCGTGCCTTTTTTTTGTGCTCTGGGGGCACTTTGCTGATCGCCACGTGACTGGTGATCTGTGACAGTCACAGAGAGGGATTGTGCTGGAACACAAACCTTGCACTGACCATCACTCCTCGTGTCACGGGAGGGGATCGTGCCTCGGGGTCAATCATCCCAGCTTCTTGTATGTTCTACGTACTGTCCAGTACGCTGCTGACGGCAGCACAGCCCGGCCCGGCTCATCGGCAGGGCCTGGAAGGGCCGACCAGTCACTGGGGGCAGGGAATCCTCCCCCTCGGCTCCTGTTAACCCCACAGCCAAAGCCCTGACGAACTAACTAACTAACTAACTAACAGGGAGGGTGGTCCTAGGGTGACGGGTTTCCGTGCGTGTCAGACACCCGCGTGTATGTGTGTGTGTCAGACACCCGGCTGGTCACGGTCACGGGTTTCCGTGCGTCAGTCACACAGCTAACCCCCAAAAAAAAGGGACAGTCAGCGAATTTCTGCTCTTGTTTTTAACCCCCTTCTCTCCCTCTCCCCCCGCCAGTGCCACCCCCTCACAGAAGTACGGCTCGAGGACGAACCGTGGGGAGGTGGTGGTGTCCTTTGGGGGGGTTCAGGGCGTGGACTGGCGTGGGGCTGGGGGGCACGGTGTCAGCGTGCGGCCCCTGACATCTCCCGAGGAGACCCTCACCCACAGATACAAGTACATGTTCCAGAAACAATTGGAGATCCGGGAAGGTAACCGCTGATCTCTGAACTCTGCCCCGTGGCTCAGTGGTTAGAGCGCTCGCTTCACGAGCGAGAGCAACTGGGTTCGATTCCCGGGCGGGACAGGACAGGGTAAAACCTTAGGCAAGTTTCCTTACTCCACACGCACACACGCACGCACACACACGCACGCACACGCGCACACACACGCACACACGCCTCAGCAGTAAGTAGGAACCCGATTGTTAGTCGACTGGGGGATGGCTTTCCGGGGTAACAATCCCTTCAATGATAGAATAATTCGGTCGCTCAATCCACGACTGTTTGTGGGACGCCGCCGGGTGCAATTGGCTGCTGCGTTTTGCCCACAAAAATGCACAGTCGCTACGCTTTTTATGGTACATTCTGCGAAGCGCGTTGAGACGTCGCCGGAACGCGATAAGGCGCTAACATCAAATGCAAGGATCATTATTCGATATTTATCTGGTTATTGTTTATTAAATTCATGGAACACAATGCTGGGATGCCTCTACCTCCCTCCCTCTCTCCCTCCCCTCCCTCCCTCTCTCCCTCCCCTCCCTCCTCCCTCCCCCTCCCTCTCTCTCTCTCCCTCCCCTGTTCTCTCCTACACCTAATCTATTTATTTTCAGTTCTGACCTTCAGGATAGAGAGCCTGGGGAAGGCACTGAAAGATCATTACCAGATTGAGGAGTTCAGGCCGGTGGCCTTACCTGCTCAGGTAATAAATTATTTGGCGGGTCAGCCGGGTGTCTGATACGGGCGGAAACCCATCCCAAAGCTTAACCCCATATCAACCCGTCCACTCAGCGGGGTTCCCCGCCCGGCCCGCCCCACCCACCATCGGGGGTCAGGCCTTCACGCTCTCTGCCCCCACCCTGTGCAGCTCCAGCCCACGGTGCTACACACTTCGCCCCCACCCACCCCTCCTCTTTGGCTTTCGGTCACCCGTCTATCCCCCCACCCTCCCCGCCCTCGAACGTCCCCCTCCACCCCACTGATCCCAACCCCTCAGCTCGGGGGCAAATCTTCTGATTATTGTCGATCACCGGCAGGACACGGTGACGGTGCTGGGGCAGGTGGGCTGTGACAGCAACGGGAAGCTGAACAGCAAGTCCGTGGTGCTCCGGGGAGACCGGGAGCAGGTGCCGGTGGACCTGTCCGAACTGAAGGAATATTCTCTCTTCCCGGGACAGGTGAGCTCAGACGACCGGGATCCTACAGGCCGTCCACAAAGTCCCGTTACCCCCACCCTGGGTGAGGGACATCATGTGAACGCAAGTTGCTGTTGTTGCGTGAGGGGCACTATGTAATAATAATAATAATAATAATCCTTGCATTGGACACAGCGCCTGATCACGTCTTCGAGACGTCTCAAAGCGCTTCACAGGCCACGCTGTAAAGTGCAGTGACTGTGTATTCTGTGGGCGAAACGCAGCAGCCAATTGCGCCCGGCGACGTCCCCCCCAATTTATTATTATTATTATGTTTGGAGAAATTATTACCCCCGGACAAGCGATTCTGCCAATTGACTAACAACATGGTTCCTGCTTACTGCTGGGAAACAGAGGCTCGCGTGTGTGTGTCGAGTAAGGAAACTTGCATATTCTGTGAAGGGCTTTGAGTTGGTTGGGTCCAAGCCTGCAGGTAATTACCGTAAAGTGTAGTGACTGTGTATTTTGTATGCTTGCCTTTACCAGGTGGTGGCGCTCGAGGGGATAAACAGTACGGGGAGGTGTGTGGTGGCCTCCAGCCTGCACCAGGTGAGCACCAGAAGCTGTGAGCACGGCTCAGGGCTCGTGACAGATGCCTCGCCATCACCGTGTATAAAGTATACTCACACACTTGCACACACCTCTACACACACACACACACCTCTACACAGACACACACATAACCTGCACACACTCTAAACACCCCTACACACACATACACTGATACACACATACACACACACATACATACAGTCACACAGATACCCTAAACACCCCTACACACACACGCACACACATCCTATACACACACAAATTAAACACCCCTACACATCCACTCTTACACACACACACATACACTCCTACACAGATACACGCGTGCGCACACTCCATACACACACACTAAACACACGTTCAGCACTGCCTGCCCGAGCTCTGTTGTGTGTGTGGCTGTGACTGGCTGTTTGCTGTGTTACAGGGAGTGCCGCTACCCCCTCACACCCCCATGAGCCAGTCTGAGCCGGAGCTGGAGACGGAGTCGGCAGGTAAAGCCAGGGATCATTCCTACAGCAATGCTCAGTGTATCCCCTCCCACACAACCATTCACTACTGGGGTCTGACACCCCTCTGCTGATGACCAGATGTGCCAGCTGTTGTGTGTGTGTGTGAGAGCAAGAGTGAGTGTGTGTGAGAGAGAGTGAGAGAGCGCGAGACAGTGAGTGTGCGTGTGTGTGAGCGAGAGAGTGAGTGTGTGTATGTCTGTGAGAGAGAGAGTGTGTACGTGTGTGCAAGAGAGAGAGAGAGAGCGAGAGTACGGGCTGGTGGGCTGTGCAGTGCACTCAGTAACACTCTCTCTCCCCAGCGCCAGACCAGCAGCTGGTGCTCGTGGCTTGCGGTCCCTACACCACCTCAGACAGCATCACCTACGACCCTATGATGGACCTCATAGACGTCATCAACAAGTCACAGCCGGACGTGTGTATATTGGTGAGTGTGTGTGTCGACAACAACAACTTGCATTTACACCCCCCCACCCCCCTTCACCTGTAGCTCAGTGGTGAGCGCTGGCTCACACAGCCCTTCAATTTCGCCCGCAAAAAAGTCACAGTGGATCCCGTGAAGCGCTTTGAGACGTCTCCCAAGACGTGATAAGGCGCCGTACGGAAGGCAGGGATTATTTATTATACATTGGCTGCCGTCCTGGCTCCTGAGCCTCGTTGCGTGTGCGGTTTTAGACCCACAGTCTATTATAATAATATTAATGATGAGGCTTGTAATGCTGATTGTTTCCTCTCTCTCTCTCTCTCTAGCTGGGACCCTTTGTGGACAGCAAACACGAACAGGTGGAGGTAAGCACGTCAACAGCAACAACAACAGATCACATTCACACCGCAGTGACCCACGAACTATCGCGGATCGAGGGGCCGAATTATTCCGTATTTTTCAAATGTTTTTCGAAGGGGTTGTTATCCGGGTTCCTAGTTAATGCTAGGTAAACAGAGGCGTGTGTGTGTGTGTGTGCGTGGGTGTGTGTGTTTGTGGTGTAAGGAAACCTGCCTAAGGTTTTTGCCCTGCCCGCTCACCCGGGAATCCTCTCGCTCGCGGGTCCCGAGCGACAGGGCTCCCAAACGTACCAGGAGACGGGAGGGAGACCTTGTGTGTAAACGGATCGTGAAGATATTTCTGCGCGCTGAGCGAGCGAGCAGTGGGGACGATTTGAGACTGTCGGCGGTTAATCACAGGGAGGGAGGGAAGGAAGGAAGCTGTGTATCCGGAAGGTGGGGAGGGAGGGGTGGGAAGAGAGCTGCAGTTTTTTTACTGAGGCACTGGAGGATGGCGAGGGACCAAACCAAACACCCCCATCCCACCCACAGGAAGCTTTTCACTTGACTCGGTCATTGCTGCTTCCCCTCTGTGTGATGAATGCTGCCGTTTCTCAAGGGGCCTGGGATTACAGTAACCCCCACACCCCCGCCCCCCCCCCCGCCTCAACTCGTCACCGCCACTTAATAATATTAATAATAACAAGCCTTGCATTTGATGCAGCGCCTGTGGTCGAGACGGCTCACAGCGTTCCACAGGATATAACAACAACACGTTACGGTTATACAGCGCCTTTCACGTCATGAGGACAGTCAGGGATTTGGACCCGAGCTGGGGGTTGGGTTCATGAGGAGTGGAGGGAGGGAGGGAGGGAGGAGGGTGGGGGGGAGAGGGTGACCGAAGGCGCAGTCGCCCTGTACATTACTGTAAAGTGGGCACTGACCGTACAGTGTGAAGTGTAGTCACTGTATTTTGTGGGCGAAACATGGCAGCCAATTGCCGGGGGGAGGTGTGGGGGGTGTGGGGGGGGGGGGGGGGGAAGATGACCGAAAGCACGATCAAAGAGACGAATCTTTAAACCGGGGAATGGGGGAGGGAGAGGGGGGCAAGTGGGAGAGACTCTGGGATGGAGTTTCAGTGGGTTGGGGGTGATGGGGGGCAGGAGGCTGGTTGGTGTGCGCTGAGCGGAGGGGAGGGGGTTTAAGGTGGTTGGAGCTGAGACACATCCCCCCCCCCCACACACACACACAGACACACACAATAAATCCCCCACTGCCTGTTGTTTCTGTCACCAGAACTGCCAGCTGATCAAAACGTTCGAGGAAGTCTTCAAACACTGCATGAAGGGGATCATTGATGGGACCAGAGGGTAGGTAGCGAGTAACGGCAGGACGGGCTGGGCCCGGGGGGTGGGGGGTGGGGGGGGGCGGGGGGGGGGGAGAATGATAACAACAATAATCCTGGCTTATGATACAGCGCCTTATTACGTCGTCGAGACGTCTCAAAGCGCTTCACAGAATATACTCGCGCTCTCCTGTTACTGTGTGTGTGTGTCTCTGTCTCTGTGTGACTGTGTGTGGGTGTGTGTGTCTCTCTCTCTGTCCCTGTCAGCCACTGTGTGTGTGTGTGTGTGTGTGTGTGTCTCTCTCTCTCTCTCTCTCTGTGTCCCTGTCAGCCACTGTGTGTGAGTGTGTGGGTGTGTGTCTCTCTCTCTCTGTGTCCCTGTCAGCCACTGTGTGTGGGTGTGTGTGTGTGTCTCTCTCTCTCTCTGTGTCGCTGTCAGCCACTGAGTGTGTGTGTGTGTGTGTGTGTGTGTGAGTGTGTATCTGCCTGTCCCTGTCAATCACAGTGTGTGTGACTCTCTCTCTCTCTGCACAGCTCGGGAGCCCATCTTATCTTCGTGCCTTCACTGAGAGATGTGCATCACGACTGTGTGTACCCACAGCCTCCGTTTCGCTGCTTCCAGACTGCCCCAGAGGACGAGCAGGTAGGAACCTCCTCAACGCATTCCCTCCACCCCTCCCTGCCCCTCTCCACCCCCCCCGCCCCACCTCACGTCCCCCCGCCCAGCCCACCCCACCGTCGACGGTCAGGCTTTCAGCCTCTCTACCCCCATCCTCTGGAGCTCCATCCCACAGTGCCCCCGCCTCGCTTCCTTCAAGACCCAGTCTCAAGCCCTTCCGCGAGTTCGGTCAACCTCCTACCCCCACCTCCCTGCCCTCCACCCACTCCTACCCCCCCACCCTCCCAGCCCTCCACCCCCTCCTGATCCCGACCCCCTGTTCAGCTCGGGTCCAAATCCCTGACTGTCCAGCAAACATGGGACGTCCTCCCTCCATCCGTATAACTGCAACGTGTTGTTGTTGTTCCTCTGCTCGGCAGCGAGTCCATTTCGTCTCTGACCCCTGCACACTCAACGTCAACGGCGTGGTGTTCGGCCTGACCTCCACCGACGTGCTGTTCCACATGGGAGCCGAGGAGATCAGCAGGTAGGCTGGGCTGGGGGTCTGGGCTGGGCTGGGGGTCTGGGCTGGGCTGGGGGTTCTCGGCTGGGCTGGGGGGCTGGGCTGGGCTGGGGGGTCTCGGCTGGGCTGGGGGGCTGGGCTGGTCCTGTGGGTCAGGCCACCAGTAATCATCACGACAATAATAATAATAATCCTTGCGCCTTCCCAGTCGAGATCGATTTCAACCTCCTCTCACCCGCTCTCAAACCCCTTCACACCCTGGCACCTCCCTCCCTCCCTACCTCACCCACCTGCTTACCCCTCAACCCGCTACCTCCGCCTCCTGCTTGTCCCTCGTGCCCTCCGCTCCACCACCGGTGGCCGCGCTTTCAGCCGCTAAACCCCGAAACTCTGTCACACTCTTCCTCTGTTCCTCCCTCGGCCTCGCCCCCTCCTTCCCCATCTTCAGGTCAAGCGCCTGAAGACCTTCCTCTTCGACCGTGACTGTATGGTCACCTGCCCCCGCCCCGCACTTCCTCTCCCCCTCCTCCCCAGTGACAAACTTTTGACTCGGAGATGAGAGGGCGAGCGACTGAGCCATAGTTCATTTCCCCCCCCCCGCCACCCTCCCTCCCTCTCTGCCTCTCCCCACTCCCTCCCCATACACCCCTCTGTGAGAGCAATTGTGCTGATGTGTCACAGGCTGAGTTAGTGAATAAATCATACACTCGCTCGCGCTCTCTCTCTCTCTCTCTCTCTCTCTCTCTCACACAGCCCGGTGTCCTCTTTGGCGAGCTCTGAGCTCCCTCCAGCCACAGATTGGCAGCCAACAGAAGAATAGTTGGGGCTGTTGCCATTTTGGCAGCCAGTGTCCCTGCTTTGGGAGCTGCTCTGGCCACCGGTTCCCTCTCCCTCTCTTGTTTATCGCATTCCTCTCTTCTCTCCCCTCCTCTCTGGCTGTCTGCACTCACTTCCAGCTGCGACGCTCCAGATGTTTTGTGTTTACTTGACCGTCGATGAAGGTAGCGTCCTGCCCGGCTTTATACGCTCTCTATCGTATGTCACACTGTGTCCTTAGACAAGGGGTGGGGGAGGGAGAGAGGGAGACAGGAAGCCAGAGAGACACAGCGAGGGGAGAGAGAGAGAGAGAGAGAGAGACTGGGAGAGAGACTGGGAGACAGAGAGTGGAGAGAGAGAGAGAGAGAGAGAGAGAGAAACAGAGTGAAATTGAAAGATATCTCATTTAAAAGTCACCTCCAACAATAAAGCTCTCGCCCCCTCCCCTCTCCCCTCCCTAACACTGCACTGGAATGTCAGCCGAGACTGTGAGCTCAATCGTCCCGCCATGGGGGCTCGAACCCACAACCTCCTGAGCGACTGAGCCACAGCTGTGCCGAGAGAGAGAGAGAGAGAGAGCACCTTGTGCTGGACAGATGTCTCGGTGAGGGTGGGGGTGGGGGGCGGGGGGGGTGGTGTGGGGCAGCTTCTGTCTGGCCAAATTAGAGAGGGCTCGGGTTCGATTCCCGGCCGGGTCGGTCAGGCAAGTTTATCGTAACCCCCCCCACACCCCCCCACACCCCACACGCACACACACACACACACAGACACACACCACACCTCCGTTTACTCAGCAGTAAGTAGGAACCCCGCTTGCGAGTCGATTGGCCGATCGCTTTCCCGGGCGTAATAGTCCCTCTGAAAACCACGCCAATTTGGTCACGCAATCCACGACCGTTTGCCGGGCGTCGCCGGGCGCCATCGGCTGCCGCGTTTCGCCCCGCAAAACGGGCAGTCAGTCGCGACAGTTTACCGCGTGCCCTGCGGAGCGCTCTGAGACGTCTCGAAGCCGTGAAGAGGAGTTGCGTCGAAGGCGAGGGTGGTTATTGCAGTTCGGCTGAGACGCGCCAGCAAACAGCACCACCCACCCCTCTCGCCGCACACCCGCCCCCCCACCGCCCCCTCGCTTTTATACGTCTGATTTAATCGTGCTTCGATCAATCCCGAATCGCTGGCTGCCCGGAGGATAAACAGACGTCTGTGAATGAGTTACCAGGCAGCACATCGCAGGGAAATGGGCTGAATTCCTGAGATTAGATTCGCGGTTACCTTCACGCAGACGAGACGCCTTATCTCGGCTCGCGGACCCGCAGCCGGGCGTCTTGACGCACGCGCCAACCCATCGCCGCGCTTAGAGAGAGAGTCCCCGAATCCGACTTGAGAATTCCAGGCATCCCACCCACACATGGAAATCCCAGAGCGAGATTGTGGGAATGGAATGCGCTCTCTCTCTCTCTCTCTCTCTCTCTCTCTCTCTCTTTATCTCCCTGGAGGGACGCATCCTGTTTACCAACTCATGGGAGTATTAGGCTTGGGGTGGGGATGGGGGTGGTGGGGGGGGGGGGGGGGAGAGCCCAGAGTGCGCGTTGGGGGTAACTGATGGAGTCTAACCAGTCAAACCCACACGCAGCTCGGCCATCGAGAGAGAGAGAGAGAGAGAGAGAGAGAGACAGACTTTCCCACTTGCTTGTCCAGTTAGGACCACCTTCTCCGTTAGTTAGGGCTTTGAGCCCACAACTGCTTGCGCTGCAGTGTGTGTGCGTGTGCGTGTGTGTGCGCGCGCGGGGTGAGGCGTGCGTGTGCACGCGCGCGCGCGCTGGATCTGTGTTAAAACGCGAGACCCGAGCGGGAGGGTGTCAGGTTGAGTTGCCGGCTTGTTCCCCGGCCTGCCGAGGGCAGAATTAATAATAATAATAATAATAATAACCCCGTGCATCTGGTGTGGCGCCTTGTCACGCCTTCGAGACGCGGCGGCGGCGGAGGCGTTGGGACGATTTGTGGACCTGAGCACAAACCGTAGTCGGGAGACTTCGGAGTGGTGGGGAGAGGGAGAGAGTTAACACAAAACACATGGAGGGAAAGCAAAGCCGAGCTGCCAAAGAGAGTGACTCAATGCGCAGCGTCGGCCAACTCTATCCTCTTCCCGCTCTCCCCCTCTCTCACCCTCTCCTGATTGCTGCCCCCACCCCACCCCCCCCAACTCAGGCTCTCTCTCTCTCTCTCTCTCTCTCTTGCACTCTCTGTCTTTCTCCCACACACCCCCACCGCTCGCTCTCCCTCTCTCACTCTCACTCACAACTCTCTCTCTCTGTCTCTCTCGCACTCTTACTCAATCTCTCCCTCACTTGCTCACTCTCTCACTCACACACTCTCTTTCTCTCCTCTGTCTCTCTCTCTCTCTCTCAATCTTTCTCTTACTATTTCTCACTCTCAATCTCTCCTCTGTCTCTCGCTCTCTCTCGCTCTCTCTCCCTCTCTCTCTCTCTCGATCTCTCTCTCACTCGCTCACACTCACACCCTCACCTAAACCTCTCAGTTTAGGGGCGGGTGGGACCTTGGCCGTGTTAAACCCCTCACCCCACCCCTCTCCCAAAAAAAAAGGCTGTACTGTGGAGTCAGCTGAGGGCTCGGTTGCTGCACCTGTGTGGAATTGAAAGCGTTCGCTCATAAGTCTCAGCTTGTCCTGCCTGACATTCCAGCTGTTTACCCCGAGATAGACCAGTCAGTCAATACAGTCAGCGATACATATAATAATAATCCGCCCCGCACTGGATAGAGGGCCTTATTCACAGCCCCCGTGACCTGCTAACCCCATATCCCTCCATATCCATATCCCAGCCGGTCGGTGCCATTGTCAAGCGCTCCGAGACGCTGCCCTGCGTGAGCGCGTGAGGGCCGCTGCGTGTGTATGTATATGGCGCTCCAGTTGTTGTCGCTCACCTCTCTCTCTCTCTCTCTCTCTCTCTCAGTCCTCCAGGAGGAGTCGACCGGTTTACAAGGATTCTCAAGCACATCCTGACCCAGAGGAGGTGAGGGGAGTCTTGGGAGGGGAGTGGGGGGGTTAATAATACTACTACTACTACTCCTACTACTAATAATAATAATCCTTGCATTGGATACAGCGCCTTAACTCGTGGTTGAGACGTCTCGAAGCGCTTCACAGGACGCACCGCAAACAGTGGTGACTGTATTTCGTGGGCGATGTCTCGCCCTGACCTGACCCGCCCGGGAATCGAAACCCGGGTCCTCTCGCTTGCGAGGCGAGGGCTCCTAACCGCTGAGCGACTGACGTCCCGCAGAGCAAGTGTCACTGAGGCGCTGGAGATGATAATAATAGCCCTTGAATTTGACATAGCGCCCTATCGCGCCTTCGAGACATTTGCTGAGCCGGGCTGATTGTCTTATTCCCCCTTTCCACCCAGTTACTACCCGCTCTATCCGCCCGCGGAGGAGATGAACCTGGACTACGAGGCGTTCCAGATGTTTGCACAGCTGCCGGCGACTCCGGATGTGCTCCTGGTGCCCTCCGAGTTACGCTACTTCGTTAAGGTGGGGGCGGCAGAGCGCAGCGCAAAGCTCTCCAGACCGCGCTATTGCAACAACAACTGCGCATGGGGCGCTGCCCTGTGGGGGGGGTTGGGGGGAGGGGGTTGGAGAGGCCGTGTAAGTGCAAGTTGTTGTTGTTGCACCCACTGGCGTCTGTTTCGAAGGCGAGAGCGCGAGTGACTGAGCCAGGCTGACTGAGCGTGAGAAAGTGATTGGGAGGGATTGGGGTAGAGGGTCCCAGAGACCGAGGGGGTGAGGGAGAGAGAGGGAGGGAGTCCGGGGATGGGGTAGAGGGAGAGAGAGAGAGAGAGAGAGAGCCGGGGTGGGGGGGAGGGAGACCGAGGGTGGGGGGAGAGAGAGAGAAATGTGTCGCTGAATCAGAAATGACTTGTTATCAATCTCTTCCTTCCCCCCCACACACACGCGCACACACACACACGCACGCACTCACACACACCACATTCACGCACGCACTCACGCACACACACCACATTCACGCACGCACCACACATACTCACGCACTCACCACACACACACGCACGCGTACACCTCACACGCGCGCGCACACGCACACACACACACACACACACCGTGCTGCTGTTGTCTCTGCCGGGATTCAGGACGTCCTGGGTTGCGTGTGCGTGAATCCCGGGCGTTTGACCAAGGGCCAGGTCGGAGGGACGTTTGCCCGTCTGCGGGTTCAGAGGCCGAGGGGCCCGGATGCCGAGCAAGGGGGCCCCTGCGTCACCGCCAAGTGGTGAAAATCTGACAGCCTCCCCCCACCACCCCAACCTGTGGGAGGGCGGGGGGTCACGGACACACACAGAGTGTGGCATAGCTGTGGACAGACCCTTGTATGTACTGAGTATGTCTCCCGCCTGCCCCACTTTAAGTCGTGGCCTTGTCTTCCTTAAAGTACCCCCACTCCCCCTCCACACACCCCCTCCACACACACATACACACACACATGCATCCTCTCCACCTCCTCTCCACACGCACACGTGCCTCTTAGCATCTCTTTGACGCATGTATACACACACACGACACACATACACACAACACACACACGCCACACACACACCCTGCTCCGGTTTCCCTCGTATAAAAACTTATTTTTATAGACCGCTCCCGTCTCGGAGAATAAAATATTTTGTTGGCGCTTTTGGAGTGATCCGTGTATATCTCTGTGAGAGAGAGCGCGTGTCTGCGAGCCAGAGAGTGCGTGTGCGAACGAGAGACAGAGAGAGAGAGTGTCGGCGGGTGTGAGTGTGTGTGAGAGAGACAGACAGAGTGAGAGAGAGAGAGAGAGAGTGAGCGAGAGAGCGACCATGTGTGTGTGTGTGTGTGTGTGTGAGAGAGAGAGTGAGTGAGATCGAGTGTTTTATGTGTTGTGAGAGAGACGGAGTGAGTGAAGGAGAGAGAGAGTGAGTGAAGGAGAGAGAGAGAGTGAGTGAAGGAGAGAGAGAGTGAGTGATGGAGAGAGAGTGAGTGAAGGAGAGAGAGAGAGTGAAGGAGAGAGAGTGAGTGAAGGAAAGAGAGTGAGTGAAGGAGAGAAAGAGTGAGTGCGATCGAGTGTGTGTGTGTGTGAGGGTAGAGATAGCGAGTGAGCGTGTGTGAAGGAGAGAGAGAGTGTGAGTGAGTGAGTGAGTGTGAATGAGACCGGCGGAGTGAGTCCAGATTGGAGTAACAGTGTGTGTGGCTGTGTGTGGTGGGGTGGGGGGAGCAGTACTGACTGACGCTGTCAGCATTATCTCGGGGCTACCAAATGCTTCTGCCGGGCAAGCTGTGCGTTGAGCGCGTTAATATATATATCTCTCTCTCTCTCTCTCTCTCTCTCGTACGTAAGTGTGTGTCTATATAAGACTGGACTTGAGTTACAGAGTTAGCGGCGCGAACTGGGGGGTGAGGAAACCTTACACCGAAACAGTGAGTATCACAGGGTTTACGTGGCTCCGGTTGCAGTCCGTAAATAATTATGGTTCACTTGCCCGTACACGAGATGAGTTCCGCTGCCCCTCGCGCTCTCCCCCGCGCCCGCCCGCCCTCTTCGTCCGCCGAGCTCCCACCTGTGCCCCTTTTCGGGGTGAAAGGTAAAAGATCTCTCCCGTTGCGCTATTCGAAAAGAGGAGTGAGTTTCTCTCCTCTCTCTCTCTCTCTCTCTCTCTCACCCCCACCACCCGGTGTCCCCCAAATAAAACCCGTCGCTCCTCCCTCCGCGTCCCGTGAAGCCCGGAGGAGAGGATCGAGCGGGTGAGCAGCGCTCGTTTCGTTGCGTGTTATCTTATTTTAAACGATGGCAATAAAGCCGGCGTCCGGGTGGGTGGGGGGGGGGGGCATAGCAGCGCGTGGCTTCAAGAGAAAACAGAACCCCCCCCCCCATCCCCTTTAGTGTCGCGCTCGGTGGGGCACTGCTGGCGGGTTTCGCCCACACACACACACACACACACAAAAAAAAAGCGCAGTCACTACACTTTACGGTGGAGGGCAGGGAGGGTGGGGGGTGTAGGAGGGTGACCGAAGGCACGGTTGGTCGAAGAGGAGGGTCTTGAAGGAGTCGGGAGAGGGGGTGAGGCGGAGGGAGGGAGGGAGGAGGCAGAGGGAGAAAGAGAAGGGAGGAATAGAGAGAGATTGGAGGTCAGAGAGAGAAAGAGGAACCGATCAGTCACGAAGGGCGCAACAGGCTCGAGGGGCTGAATGGCCTCCTGTTGCAGGGACGGAGCCAAAAGCCTTGGGCGGGGGATACGAATGAGTTAACACTGTGCGCTCTCTCTCTCTCTCCCTCTCCCTCTCTCTCTCTCTCTCTCTGCGGAGCTAAACCGAAGCCGAGTGAGTTCTAGTCTTAAGAGCAGCTGACGCTGGCCGGTAGCCAGGGAGCAGCTTAAGGAGCCACTGGGATGAAGCCAGGATGGGAGGGCTTGGTTTGGGCCGGATGTGGGGGTTGGGGTGGGGGGGAGAGGGAGAGGGAGGTGGGGGGGGAGTTGGGGGTGGGATATGGCGAAGACGGTCCACTTTATTGCGCTCGTTTTTTATTTTAAGAGCAGCGCTGTTTGCCGGGGACGTCGCCGGGCGCAATTGGCTTTCGCGGCCCGCCCACAGTCACTACGCCTTACAGGACGTTCCGCCAAGCGCTTTGAGACGCCGCGACGGCGTGATCAGGCGCCGGGTGGGGTGGGGGGGTGGGGGGGGGTGCGGGAGAGAGATAGATGGGAGGGAGAGAGATGTGGGGGTGGAGTTCTGGAGCGCGAAGGCAGGAAAGACTAGGAAATGCGTGCGTGCGGCGTGGGGCGTGTGCATGTGCGAAGGTGTGTGCGCGTGTGTGCGCGCATGGGATGCAACATTAAATGACGCTCTCAACGCGACGTGGGGTAGAGAGTCCCAGAGCGCCGACCCTGAGCCCGGGATACGAGTGCGAGACGGGCGGAGGGCGGAGGGAGGGCGGAGGGTGTGTCCTGTGGATGTCCTGCGTAATGAGTAATGAATGACCGCACGAGGGGCGTTTGCATCGTGTTGCGCGGGAAGGGCACGGAGTGAGACGCGGTACAGTCGGCGTACGCGGGAAATGCTACCCCACTCACCCCCCCTTCGTGCGCTCGCCTCACAAGCGGGAGGATCCGGGTTCGATTCCCAGGGGGGTGGGGGGTGGGGGCAAGTTTCCTTCCTCCGCACGCGCACGCACACACACGCGGACACGGACACACGCGCACGCGCGCGCCTCTGTTCACCGGCGATAACTAGGAACCCCGCCTGTCAGTCGGTCGGTCGGTCGGTCTTCCGGGGTCAACAATCCCTCCGGATCTGGTCACCCGCCACCCCCCCACCCCCGGGTTGTCCGCGGGACGTGACGGGGCGCAACCGGCTGCCGCGGTCCGCCCGCGGGACACGCGGACACCCCGCGTGATCGCGTCTCGTGCGAAGCGCTCTCGGGAGGCGCCATATCAACGCAGAGCCCCCCCTCTCCTCTCTCACCACCCCCCCCCCACCACCGCCCTCCCTGTTAAAATCCCGCACACGCACACACACACACACACACGCGCACCAAACCCAGCGCTGCACAGGTTAATATTCCCCCCACCCACCCCTCCCTCCCTGGGCTGGAAGTTGCAGTCAGTCCGTGAGTCGGCTTTGGCCGGGAGCCTGGTTGAATCATGCATACGTGTGTTTTTGCGTGTGCGCGTGTGTGTTACATGCCTGTCTCTCTGCTTATCAACACTTTAACTCGCCAGTGAGCTGCGTTGCGCAGCGAACAGTAAAACCACACAGAGACAGACAGAGAGAGAGGGAGAGAGAGAGAGAGAGAGAGAGACTGGATCCCTGCGGTCCCCTACGAACTGCCCTCTCGCCCCCACCCCACCCCACCCCACCCCGTAGGGCGCTCCGGAACCCTTCCCCGTGTGAAGAGCGCTCTGTGAACGCAAGTTCTCGAAGTTCTCGGCAGCTACGAGTCGGTTTTATCACCCGCCGCCCCCCCCCCCGCCCCGACCCCCAAGTCCCCGCTGGTGAGTACGCCCGTCTGCTGTTTCGACGAGGGATGGGGGGGAGAAAGGGGTTTGGGAGGGGGGGGTTTAGTGTCGTTACTGGGCCGGGGGGGGGTGGGGGGGGTGGGTGGGGGTCAACTCTTGCAGCTTGTAAAGAATGTAAAGAGAGAGAGAGAGATCCACACGCCCGTCAGTCACAATCTGCCTGTGTTTTTCCTCTCTCTCTCTCTCTCTCTCGGACTCTCTATTGCTCTCTCTCTCTTACACTCTCTATTGCTCTCTCTCTCTCTCTCTTTGCACTCTCTATTGCTCTCTCTCTCTCTCTCTCTTGCACTCTCTATTGCTCTCTCTCTCTCTCTCTCTCACACACACAC